AGAATGCACGCTTATAACTTCCTCTTCATTATCATTGTAATTTTCCCCTGCTTGTGTCAAATAATCAATCGCTGACAATAAAGCACTGCCACCCATCATAGCTGTATTTCCTGCTACTTCTGCCAATCTAAAACCCATCTTTAATTTCCCTCTATGTCTTTTGAAACATCACCTATTGCCTTCACTGTCACTGCTACTACTGCTAGGGTTTTCAATCATTTTTGTAAAAGCTTCTACCATCTTATCACTTCTTGATGGCTCAAAATCACTACTTGATGGCTCTAAACTTTTGAAGTTCTTTGAACTCATCTTCACAATATAGTTTCCTATTATCCGGTTTAATTTATCTACTGTTTCAGTCTCTTTGTCAAACGTAATTTTCTTATCGGTTTGCGTTTGTTTGTTCTCTATCTCTGGGAATTGTGTTGCCTCATCTTCAGATTCTATCTCATTACTTCGTTCTCTTCTTTCTGTTGGCTTAAAAATAATGTAAGTATTCATCATCATCTATTATATGTGTTTCTTCAGTCTATTGTGTACTAAAATAATGATTAATAATAATTAGATTCTATTCTTAATTATGCCATTTCACTTCCCCTCGCGCTGTGTCTGTTTCTGTATTCTTTAATTTTGCTTTTCAATAGTTCTGATTCAATTCTTCTTTGCCATACACCGGTTTGTATCATATCAACATCTACATAATATTGCTTTGTTGTTTTGCCTCCTCCTTTGCCTTTTGCTCTTGTTGGTAGTTCATTCTCTGGGTCATCTACATCAAAGCCTCTCAAAAACAATTGAAATTTCAATGCTTCTGCGCTCATAGTTCCTACATTTAATCTATAGCTAATGGTTCTTAATACTGCTTGTTTGGGTTCAGGGGCTTCGCGTTCTTCTCTTGCTGTCATCATTTCTACTTCATCTTCTGCTTGTGGGTTGTCTTGTGTTAAATCAATTGCTAATTGTGGCACCGGTTGAGCCATTGGCGTTCCTACTCTGCTACTTGTTCTACTCAATCCACCAAATATCATACTCGTATCAATAACAGGTGTGGCGCTCCTACTTAATAAACTTTGGTGTGCTTGTCCTTGTTGTTTTCTCTCCTGTGCCATTCTGGCTCTTTCTTGTAGTTGTGCTTGAATGGATGCATTATTAACGTTGTCATCTCTTGGCGTCTCTGCTTCTATTGGGGTTGTGTCTCTACTCTGTTGCCTCATCCTTTCAACATGAACTGGTCCACCTCCTAAATTGTGTCTCAATAATAGTTCTCTCATCTGTCTCTCTTGTATTCTGTTTTTTGTTCCTTCAATACTTCAAATGCCATCAAAGAAGCTACCTTCAGGACTTGCTATAAAAAATGTAGCCCTTCTGTCTGGAAGGCTTCCAGTTAATGTTTCATTTTCTCCTATCAACCCTGCTATTTCATCATATGTTGGTCGCCTCTTCAATTCATATTTTGAATAAGGATTTATCATTTCCAATGCCATAGTTGCCATATATTAATATGTTAGGTAAACATGTTAATATATTTATGCAAAAAAAATAGGCCTTTAGGTTGCTTAATGCTGTGTTCTTTTGTGTTGTGCGGTAGGTTGTCTCTTTGGACTTCACCTCTCAACCTGTCCAGTTCATTTTGATACTTTGACCTAGCATTTGCTTGTATCATGTCCTTTCTTAATGCTACCATGCCCTCTCTTGCATTTCTTAACTTAAGTTCCTTGTGTAAATGCTCCAGATAACTTGTATCTCTCATATCAAATGGACTAAAAATTATTAAAAATTTGTGAAGATGTGCTTTAGTGCCTGTTTTGTTGTTGCGTTTATGATACTTAAACATTATTAATATATTTTGTTTTAGACAAATATATTAATAATGTAGACTTATTATTTTAACCGTATACCACAGACCCGCGTTCGCAAATTTCTAACACGCTTGCACTAATAAGGTGGGTAAAAACCTCTTGAATGTCTTCAGCATAAATTGCGTTAGTGCTATCACCGGGTGTAGTGTTTAGAGTTCCTTCAGTAGGGCGGATTTTCATAGTCATTAAACTACCCATTTTTGTGTTAACTCCAGTAAAGTTGACGTCAGCCATCTTTTCAAATGACATACCAATGATAAATGCGTTTTCTCTGTATTGCCTGTAACTGAAAATCAATGCATCTTGGTCCGGGTTCATGTAATGTATGGCTCCTCGCAAATAGTGGAAAGTTTCTGCACGATAATGATTGTGCCTCAAACTCTGGATACTTTTTGTTGCCTAACTGGATTTGCCATTATAAGTTTCTACCATAGTCTTGGAAACCTTTGCCTTGGTCTTGAGGATCCATTGTCCCAGATGAATGAGTTAATTTGAGAATTGTAAAAGTAGTTTCATCGCTTATGAACACAGTTGTCTGGCAAATAGTTAGCATTGATAGTTCCATTTCCTGGTGTTCTGTATAAAGTACTGAATGCTCCTGTGAGTTTGAATGATGACTTAACAATAATCATATCCAATTCACCGCCTCCTGTGTTGAAGGTTTGTGTCAGTGTGTGATACATAGGAAAGACCAGTTTTAGTGACTGACCGTCCAACAAATGTTTTACTATGTTGTTAGTAACAGTGTTGTCTAAAGTCATTACTTCAGCTCTGATAATAACATTGTTTAATTCCCACTGTGTAGAAGTGTTAGCTGCTTGAAAGTAATACCCCTGTTTGTCAGTTTGAGTGTGCGGGTTTCCTACTGCGCCTCCTTGTGGTTCTACAATAGGTACCAATTCATCATTAACAATTGTGAATTCTAATTCCAAAGGCGCATACCTCAAAGGTAAATAATAGTTTGATTGCATCAACCCACAAACAGGCTTATGGCTGAATCGGGCTTTACCATTAGCGCCGGAAATTCTTGTCAATGAGTGTCTTGTATACTGTATCTTTTATCTATTCTACCCCATTCATTTTTATCACCGTCAGGGGATACAGTTACTACACCGGGGGTTGGAGTAACACCAGCAGTAGTAGCCTGCAATAATACATCCAAACCATTACTGTAGCATAGTCATGAAAGTCAGCGTCCCATCTTGGGTTAGCTGACATCTCTATGTCATCCATGTCTCTAACATACAACTCACAGTGTCTATTGTATTCAACAATATTTCGATCCATTTGACCTCCTACTATTGCTCTGTATCGTTGAATAAAGGCATGTAAGCCTCCTAATGGACGTAAGAAATGGTGTCTTGTTCGATCATTATTTTGCAAAGTTGCAAACAACCTTACTGAACTCAAATCCAAATAGGTATTATCCTCTCCTGAAATGTAAAACCTAATGTTTTTCGCCCCCGCATTCGCATTAAATACGTTTGTGGTGCTACTAAAATAGTTTACAAATCGCCTGTTTGTAACATATTGTGAAGTTTCAGGTAATCCAAAGTTCAGGTAATCCAGGTCACCAGCTTAAAAACAGACATCAAACGAAGCGGTATCCATTTAGCAGAAAGGATTTCTATGTTCTTTTCCTTCAGGGAGAGCTCTGGTAAGGATGAGTCTGGTTCTATGTTGTCCTTTATATCCAGGTTCTTTTACAAAACTTGTGGTTTTTTACTTTAACATTTCAAGGTAAAAAATCACAAGTTTGCGTCTGTTTGTACTTTTTGATGATGCATGGTTTAAAAAACATATGAAGCATTGTTTTGCTTTGTGTGTGTCATGGTTTCGTGCAAATTACTTTTTTGTTAGGTCGATTTGCTTTGCTGGTCGTTTGTGGGAGTCTTATGGTTTTGCATGAAAAGTATGCTAAGGAGCCCTGGCGGCACATTGGTCTAAAAGTTCCCCACCACCCTCCCCCCCCACTGTAGGTAGTGGTGGTGGTAGTAGTAGTAGCAGTAGTAGCAGCAGTAGTAGTAGGTAGTAGGTAGTACGTAGTAGGTAGTAGGTTGGACTGTAGGTAGTGGTGGTGGTAGTAGTAGTAGCAGTAGTAGCAGCTGTAGTAGTAGGTAGTAGGTAGTAGGTAGTAGGTGGTACGTAGTAGGTAGTCGGTAGTAGGTAGTAGGTCGCTGGATCAGAATAGACAACCATTGGACTGAGACATGTCGATCGCTGGATCAGAATAGACAACCTCTGATTCGGATTCGTTCCATTTCATTGTAAAACGACTTCGCTTGAAATCAACAGCAACAAACTCTCCCAGCAAAATGTGCAACTCCAATGCACCCACAAGTCTGATTGAGCAGGGTATTGTTGTTCGATGTCATTCTGGGTCTTTCATTTCAAACGGTTTGGAGAAAAAAACGATAAATCATGCCAGATCTAGAAATTCTTCGGTCGCTTTGAAGCCTTCTGTGTGTGAAAAAGAATATCTGGTGCGTGTCGCAATCCCTCGAGACGGTCGAAAAAAAGATCTGAAAAGGAAAACATGCACACGGCCAAGTAGTTTGGAAGAAGAATCGTTTTCAAGGTCATGTTTTGTGGATAGTCTTGGTTCGCATTGCTTGTGTTGGTTTCACTTGGTTCCTCTTAGGTGATTCGACTGAGACATGCCGGTTCGGATCGCTGGATCAGAGTAGACAACCTCTGATTCGGATTCGTTCCATTTCATGGTCAAACAACCTTGAAATAAACATCAACAAACTCACCCAGCCAAATGTGCACCTCCAATGCACCAACAAGTATGATTGAGCAGGGTATTGTATCATTAAGCTGCCTGCCAATGCGGGCTCGAGCTGGTGGCCGGCGGCATGCCGAAGGCTGTAAATAATTCCAATTCAAAAGCAAGATTCATAGATTAATCTACTTTTAAGTTAACACGTAGTTTATGCTTTGACCAAGAATGGTATTTGTGGATCAGAAAGTCGATCTTAGGGCACTTGTTCGTTGAGGCACATCTACCAAAGGCATCATTGATTACAGTAAATTTGATAACATTTGATGGCTGATGAGGAATGTACAATATCTCCCAGGTCTTTTCCTGACCGCTAGCCCCAATGATGCCAGCTTTGTGCCCCTCTTTGTCCAAGCTTCCAGGAAGCATATCAATACAGGCAATGCTTGCAGGATGATAGCCCAACCAGCGTTCTATCATGCTGCCCCTGCCACATCCCAGATCCAGCCTTGGAAGCACCCCAAACAGGGTTAAACCCATGAAGTTGCTGATGACTCCTATCACCGATCAATGCTTGGAGTGGCAAAGTGAAGTGCACCTTGAGGATTCTAAATGGTTTAGACGCATTGCTTGGCCTACTCAATTGCATCTCTGTGCGTTTGAGCTGAGCTGCACTTTGGCTGGTCTACCCAGGCGAGCGTATTCTGCATAGAAAAAGTGCAGCAACCTCGCATCAAGTTACTTAAGACGAGTTGAAGGAATTGGCGGCTGGTCTTTTTTGAATCAATACCTTCAAATCGCTGAGCATCTCGCAAATATAGTAGATTGACTAGCAGCTACACTTGAATTTAAAATACCTTCGCCTTAGCACATGTTTGGACCAGCGACCGGACAGTGAGCAAAGAGTCAAAGGGAAAGATGCCCGGCAGAGTTGACAAGGGCGCCTTGGACCTCACGTTCAAGTCAGGATGCTAAGCCCGGTCAAGCCTTAAACCGTTTAAACCCATCCCTATCTATCACCATCTATCAGTGAATAAAGTCCAATCAAGTGACCTATAGGGCCGACGTTAATTTCTCAAGTCTTTCCAAACTGGCCCCAGAAAGTGAACACAACATGTAACAATCGGAAATTACTCAAAACAACAATACATTAAAACACATCCGGGGTGCCATTCTGTGTTGATGAAATAGCCATGGGGATGTCGCTGTGCATCACGGCAGTTGTCTTCCCTCTCGAGGGGCAATGTACCCGATGAATTCCGCGACAGCCTTGGTCACTGTTTGAGTTTTGCTGCTTCTTCCCGCTCACGTAGAGACGGGGATGGCTTCGCGATTCAAGGGCAAACTCACTCAAGCTTCAGTTGGTGTCGGCACAATGCGAAGAATGCATGGCCAGTTTCTCCCTACAGTGCTTTCCCGAAGGCTTCGGATCAAAAGGGAGGTCCGGCTGCTCCACTGAATATGCAAGCCTAGAAGCTACTAGTAGCGAACCTTGTTCCTAGTAGTAAAGCCAGGAGCCCCCAATAGCGTCCTTGCTCCTAGTAGCGATGCCAGGAGCCCCTAGTAGTATGTATGGTAAGCCTAGAAGCAAATTGAAGCAAATTTCCGGGTGTTGCCTGGCCAAGATGCCAGCCTTGAGCAAGCTCACCTGTTTGTTAGACTGCCGGAAGGAACCCAAAGCCAAGAAGACAGAAACGCATTGAGAAGTAAACACCAACGGAGAAAAGCCGTATTTCGTGTTTACATCTCTCGACCTGCCAAAGCTCCTCCGTGTCCAACCCGTCGGGTGAGCTCTCGAAGGATCGATGAAGCTTCCAATTTCCTGCGTCGATGAAGCGTTTTTTTTCTTGAAGTTCTGCATACTTTCATCTTTCATATGCACTGTGAGTGTGCTACCTTCCACTCACAGTGAGATTCGTTCATCCTTTTCTCTATCTCACACTCATGGTTGGGCCTCGGTCAAGTAACTCCTCGTAGACGCGCAAATAGGGCTTCCTGTGACCAAAAGTCCGGCTAGCTTCGGCGTGTTTGGGTTAAGTTTTTGCGGTGTAGTCCCGGTAGAAACTAGATTCATCATGATTCATCTAGATTCTAGATTCTAGAGATCTCATATCTGTCTCCGTAGCCCATCTCTAGGCTGCCGGCATCTCGTCTTGACTGCCAATAGCAAAGAGGTCATTCATGTACTGCGTCATGCTTTCGGTCGCACGGAAAGGAAGCCAAACGACACCTGGCAACTCCAACTCAGTCTGACAAATATTGTTTTGCAACCGAGACCAGGCAACACTTTGCTTTACAAACCTGGCAAAGGACACCCGGCACTTCCAGCACACGTGCATCCGCTGGGAAACTGTACCAGCCTGAGTATCGAATGTTTCGAAGCGAAGTCTGCAAAATGGATCAGTGTTGTAACATGGAAAAGTGAAGAGCTGCTTTGCAGGCTTTTGCCGGTTTGCCAGTTGTTTTTTTTGTAGCTCTGACTGAGACCTCTCTTGAAGAACTGAACTTATCCAAAGCCAAGCAGCGTACATCCAGGCGTGAGCGCGCCACCAAGTCATAGCTCTGCTCACCGATCAGCTCGCCACAGGCTTGGACCTTTCCAAGTAGAATCGTCAGCTTCCAATGGTTTTGGTTTGGCCTTCTAAATCTCGGGCAAAAGTAAATGCAAATTCTTTTTGGGACATTCTTTCGTAGATAACTTTGTCGCCCACCACGCGGAACGGCCTTCTTCAGCTGCCCTAAGAAGGCCGTCCGGCTCCAGACCGTGCGAGCACCATGCTTCAGCCAACGTTCCTCCTTGCGCCTCAAAACCGGTCCAGACAAACCGACGCCACTCCGGATCTAGAGTCTAGATGAGTCTAGAACACGACATGTGAAAGTGAAAGTCCCCATCGCCACTTTCGTGCGAGGTCCGATGCATCGCACTCACCTGGCCTTTGCAGGTCGTCTTCCTCGTTCTGTGGAATGCAATGCAAAGCCTTCAGGCGCAAAGGCTCCAGCATCTCATCCGCCTGTCGGCAGTCCTACGTCAAAGGGTACGTGGGCATTCCGGCATTGTCTTGTTCCACAGAAGTCCACTCCATTTGGTCACTGGCTCTTGACATACTTGTGTCAGCACGCACCCATGAATGAAGTCTGAGTAATGGAAGTGCTGGGTCCTCGCCCGCATCAGTCACTGCAAAAACATCCACGACGTATCCGGAATTGCTCAACGAGCCTCAGGATGAAGGATTCCTATGGCATGCCAATATCTAGCAACATAAAAATGATGCAGGGAAAACATTGCTGCTGAGGCATCAAATTCAAGAAAACAACTTCACCCCAGGCTAAGGATATCTGAATGATCTAAGGATCTCAGGGAAATCCGGCTTCAACGCAAAACGTTGAAAGTCTTATCACTTTCAGCTTTCCAGTGTTCACATGTGTTCACATGTGTTCACAGTCTCAACCGCCACACCAAGCGGCGCAGCACCACTCGCTGCAGGGGCTCCACGAAGAGACCATTGGGATCAAAGGTGGCTGAACGCAAATGACCCGTGAGGCACAGAGCGGCTCGTCGCCTCCGGTCAAAGTGCGTCTTTTTACGACAGTTTTTCTGGCCCCAAATCTGTCCAGTCAAGATAAGCGCTTCTCCAGATGAAAAGATCTTTGAGGTTCGCCAGATATGTTTGCACGAAGCCTACCTTTCAGCCCAAACAGGATCATGAACGACCACCGAACAATTAGTGGCCTCCTGCGATTATTTGAAAGACACTGTATCGTTTACATGAGTGCTTTTAGAACGGCTTGACTTGGCTTTTGATACAACATGATACAACGGTACTTCGGACTAGAAAGCGAATCAGGCTCGCCTTGTTCTCACCTCTGATCCAGTCGTCATCTCACAAAACACGTCTCACGGAGACGGCGCGGAGGTCCACCCCGAGGGCGAACCTTCCACGACACGTCACATCGCCTCCTTTGAGCTGAAGGATTTCTCTGTTTTTCAGATGTCGAGAGGAAAAGTGTTTGTTCTGTCTTCGTCGACACCCAAAAGTCGGTAGCCAATCTTGGAGACATGAGGATCGTTAAAGGCTACGCACGATGTTGTTTGAATGGCTTGACATCTACAGACCTTGCAGAGCGCTGGGTCCAAGACGGGGCCTCAATCCTGTGTGCCACATCCGACTGTTAAAAACTTCCCAGAATGTCAAGGCATGCTCAACACAAGTGAAGAAGCTTCAAATGCAAATTTTGGGTAAGCCTACTGAGTACAAATCACCAATCAGGGTTCCTTTCCGCATGCCCGAACACTTTGTCTGAAAATTGTGTCAAGCCCTTGTCAGACCGCCACAAATAAAGAGGAACACTGTGTAACAGTGACGAACGATGAAGAACATCCGCATGACAGCGTGGAAGATTGTTCGCGGCTTTTGAATTCCTATGAACCTCTGAAGCTTGCAGCTACGAAGTCTCTAAACACAAAATCTGTACTACTACATGTAATATGGACAATCAAATCTGCTGCATTAAACTTCTAGAGCTGGGAGGGAGTAAGCTAGATGCAGCAAGACCTTCTACATGCAATTCTCTTCGTTCTTGCAGCCACGCCCATTTTTGATCCCTTCTCAATCATCCAACCTCCATTACAGCCAGCACAGGCTTGATGTAAGTTGTTGGAAGTGATTAAATATGCTTCTTTGAAGAAGTCAGTTTCACCGACTGGAAGGCTCAAAGGCACCCTTGTCTCACTGAGAACAGGATAGAAATCTGCTGACATCTCCGTCTGTCTCAAAGCACGTCAAAGTACGCATCATGACATGCGTAGAGCGTCCTCATGTGCCGCACGAAGGTGGAACTGCGACTGTCTCACTGTCCTCATCCGTCCAACCTCAGGGCATCAGGAATCGTTCAATTAGCATTTCTACTGTTACTAGGACCAGGAACAAGAAGCTACCACGGGATCCTGGCATCGCTAGTAGTAACAAGAACAGATTCGTCTCAACCTTCAAGCTTTCAGAAAATAAACATCTATTTCAAGCTCCAAACGTTGCTTCCAAACCGCCCTAAGGGCTCGGCTGTGCATCTAAGCACCTTCGCACTTTCGTTTGGCGCACCTGACTTTCGGCATCTTGGCGACACCCTCCGTCCGGCACTCGGCATGCCGTAGGTGGTCCATCACACGTTCTTTTCAGATTGGATTGTTCGTTTGGATCCTCGAGATCCCCCACTGGGACAGAGAGGTAGTCCAAGGCTTTTAGCTTTGAGGCAGAAAGTCCACCTGCCAAGATCAAGGATTGGCCTGGATGTGCCTGGATGCTCGATGCCAGGAAGAAAGTCAGGTTATTCTTCCATGTGGATCAGCTATGGGCGAATTCACAAGTCTATTTTCGCATGGCCAGTGTGGGGCGGTCAATGCTTACCCGCCACCGCTTTGGAGGGAGGATATTCGACTGTGTGAGGACAGTGTCTTGCAGAATTCTAACAAGGATGTGCACAAAACCCACTGAGACTCGAACGGGTGGACACACGTCTCAATCTGCTCAATCCTGGACGCCTTGAACAGAATACAGAGAATCTAACAAAAATACACTCTGTTTTGAAAGAGTCGAGCAAGTTGAAAATACAATCTTCGTTCTACATCGGTGGATAAACACTCTATTGGTACCCTTGACCAAGAAAGAAACAGTCACGACGCTTTCAGACTGAGGCTGACGACCACTTTGCCAGAATGACGTCGATCCGACGAAGGATTGTAGCCTCTTTTTGAAGACAACAGGGACTGAAAGTCTACACGACCAATGACAAGACTCCTATGCACAAGTGCGGTGATATATGATTATATGTAAATGCATCCTTATAAACCTATGTAAAATCAATTCTGTGTAAGCCACAATTTTTGCACGTTCGTCCAGATGATCAGGGGCTTGAACCTCTCGACTTGCTTCTCGGAGCTGCTGTCTGCTCCATCGGCGGGAGGCTCGATCCTGTTGGGAACCACATGGAACGAGTACTTGTTATGCAAATCATGAGATTCGCCTGCAGCAAGAACCCAAGTCCCCAGTCTTCACTTTGGCGTGACCACTGGTTTCACTTTGTACGACGGAGTAACTTGTTCATGTCTCCTTTGGGCATCCTAGTACTTGAACAAATGTCGCCATGCAAGGCCGCCCTCTGCTTCCGGGAAATGAACAAAAAACTGTGTCTATATAGTTGCCAAAACTTGCCTACATGACCAGCTGCAGGATGGCATAATTTTGGCTACCTAGATATAGACCGCTTCTCTTGGCTTGTTTCCGTAAAAAGAACACACACAAACAAAAGCAATGGAGTTTGTCCCTAACGACCGCGAACCATGTTGCTAAACATGATTTTTCCAACTGAAATCTATCTGTCTCAGCCTTCACTTCCCTTTTTTCCTGTTTCTTACACTCTCTTTTCAGTCTTCTTTCACCACTAGTAAAACTTTAGAGCCCTTTCTCAACGCAAGGATCCGGCGCAAGGATCCATCGCGCTGCATCCGAGCTGTCTCCTCTTGGCGCATCCGGCGGAGCTCGTGCAGCTCTTGACGTTTCACGCGCCGCGTGAGCCGCTCCTGGTGTTGCACAGGGCGTCGAAACGGGGTCACCAGGCCCGTACGAGGTGGACACAAAATCGACGTGAACAAAGAATGGGTGCTCCCATCCTCGGAGTCACGGATTGATTGTTACAAGCTCTAGGCAGAACGTGTGGCTACGAACTGCGGCCATTTTTGCAAATGGCCTGAAAGCTTAAGATGCACCTGAGGTCCGGAAACAGGCTTCACGGTGTTGTCACTGGTGTATTTTTTCCTGTTGGACCAGTTGGGCGAGTTGTGAAGCCAATCACGGCGGTTGGTCCTGAATGACCTTATGCCCACATGAGGCCTCTTCTCAGCCGCGCGTGCGTGCTCTGCAGCGATGGCATCTTGGAGGAACTTACAATCCGTGACCTGCAGTTGTAGCAGCCTCCAGGTACTCCTTCTGGCCGGAAAGCAGCTGACTCTGGATCAGGCTTGCAAAGTAGTGGTTCCTGGGCCTGCCTCACTGTGTTCCACAAGTCGTGCCAAAGTCCAGATCATGGTGGAACTTGAAATCTGGCTAACCAGGTCTCCGTATGGGGATGGAAGTTGCTGGCTCAGGGCTTGGGGGTGGCATCACAAGGCTTAAAACGGTTCTTGAAGAAAGGTTGCGCTGGATCGGGATTGCCTGTAATATCCTGCAATGATATGCTTGAGCCCGGGTAACGTTTCTAGATACGCTTGAGCCTGGGTGACGTTGATTTAATCCTTGCGCAATCCCTAAGGTGGCCGGATTGTGGCCAGAACAACAGCTGCGATTCTTTGATGCACAAAGAACGATGAACGTGAGTGGAACCATGCATCCCAGACTGGCAGATTTTCCAAGGATTCGAATTAAATTAAGCCCGCGAAAAGCTTCACCTTGCTGCTTGGACCTGAACTGGTCCAAATGACCACCACCACCACCACCACTACTACTGCTACTACTACGTGTCAACTGGGGTCAACCGGGTCAACTGGCATCAACTGATGGAGGCAGTGTCTCAACTGGATCAGGAAAGGTCCCCAAGCAACCGCAACACGGGCTGCCTGGTGTTGAGCTTGGTTTCTAGTGGTTAGATCATGTTTTCATACCTCAATGTTGTTTATGCGACTGTTCTCGACTAGTCGTTGACCCAAGTTGACCCATAAATAGTAGTGGGAGTGGTGATAGTAGTGGTGGACCCAGTTGAACCCAGTTGACCAGTTGAACCCAGTTGTGGTCAACTGGGTCAACTCGGTCCGTAGATTTAGCGTGGCCCCCTGTGTGGTCGCACTGGATATTTGCATAGCGAGAAGAACTACCTGGCCTATCTCCAGGAAAACTTGGAGAGATTGCAGGCAGAGTGAGTCAACGCAATTCAATCGATGACCCTCCGTTCAAAGAGGCATGGTAGCAACGCCGCGCATTTCCCGGGAACAGGAGCTGTCCCGGAACAGGGCCCGAGTTAGTGCAAGATTTTGAGCGTATGTAGGATACGCTACGTAGTTTAATTTCGAGATGAGATGTACAAAAACAATTCAGTACCCTGCGTCACTTGTGTATTAGATCAGGGGGTGTAAAGTAAACAGTCATGTTTCAGCTTTTTGTTTGGGGGGATGTTTGTTTTAAACATTTACGTTATTTATTCTTATGTGATTGTCATTTTTGTGTGTCGATTTTTTGCTCATGCTTTTTCAAGTGTTTGTCGTGGGAAGCTGTTGTCTATTGTTGCCTGTTGTTATTTGTTGCCTGTTGTTATTTGCTGTTGTTATTTGCTGTTGTCTGTTGTTATCTGCTGTTGTCTGTTGTGGTCTGTCGTTGTCTATTGTTGTCTGTTCTTGTCTGGTGTTGGCTGGTGTTGTCCGTTGTTGTTTGTTGTTGTCTGCTGTTGTCACCACACAACCCACACAGGTGAAAAC